GAAATGTTTTAGACTAATAGATTGAAAAGTCTAAAAAGTTGCTTATCCACTTATTGATCACTAATTTATGGAGGCATCATCAAGGATTTTGTCGTAAAATTTCGATGTAGGATAATAATCAATTTGGTTGGATGTAGTACATTGTACCAAACTTTGGTTTGATTATAATGTGTTGTACATTCGATTTAGTTGCAGTGTATTGTACCTTTGGTTTGACAGTAGTGTAATGTTGTACTATTGTATAAATAATTATTTATATTTTATTAAGCTATTTAATCATTTTCATGTCTTTTACTAATTAATAAAAATTAAAACTCTCCAAATATTTCAATTAACACTATTATAATATATCTCGTTTATTGTTCAAAAATATATTTATTTTGTTAAGTTTTTAAAATTACATTTTGTACTATAATTTGTATATATCATTAAATGATTTTTAAATTAATTTAAATTTTAAAATAATATTAAAATAAGAAAACTTTTTTTACACCTAAGTCTCGCCTAGGCACATATCAATCGAAGTTTGGCCTCCACGCATCACCATACAACCTTGCCGGGAAAATCAAATGAGACAAAACATTGGTCAAAAGAAAAAAAAGTACAACGAGTACTCTTCTCCTCATGATAATAGCATTTGAATTATATGCTTCGGGCATAAAATCCATCAAGGATAGTATTAAAACCATAAAAGATAAGTTGACTATAATCACATTTTTTACATGCATATCAAATTTCATGCATTGCTAGACTGATAGAATATAGATTTGTGATTATATCCACAATGTGATAATTTATCTATTATGCAAATCTTCACAAAATTCGTTATGTAAAGAATCGTACATTTCATATTACAACTTTACTATTTTCATTTTCATTTTGGCTTTTTTGAACACTGTCAAAAAGAGAGTGGAGAATTTTTTTTATTTAGTTGAAAAAATTATAACTCAATTATATCTCATTACATCATGTGTATTTAAATAATTATGTAAACATTTCACGTACATATAGCATAATCGAAAAAATTATATTTCCAACTACATTAATTCCATTTTCTTAATATGTATGAAAATAAGAACAAACGTATATTAGTGAGATAGAGGGAGTATTACTTTTAGATTGTCACACGCCAACTAATGTGCTCCTTAAACACGGTTCATTTAAGTCATTTGGAAGTGGTCGTGAGACATTACCATTGATGTCCGGAGAACGAAAGTTAAAAGTTCTTGCAAGAGTTCAATGCCACGCTTCGACCATGACGGGTCGTCCCAGTTGGTATATATGTAAAAAAAGTGATTTCTTTATTGCAATAAATACCACAATAATACTTATCGAGAATCAAAGTAAAAGTTATACAAAATTACTGCCAAAATGAATGAAATGCAAAAAGGGAGGCAAGAGTTGAATTCTTTGTCCTTAAGACGAACTTGCCCTACACTGGTGTCGACAATGGATTAGCAATCATCAGATACAACGATCAACTTCTTGTGATAGCAGCACTTCAAATCACAAGAAACGGTGAACTTGAAAACATAATTTTCTCTCTACTATTTGATGATTTTTTTATGCAATGAAACAATCTTTTTGGAGTGTTTTTTATGCAAAGTAAGAGAAGAATATGATATAAAATGAATTATGGCTTTTAAAGGGGTTCTATTTATAGAAGATGTGGGGTTGTTGCCAGAGAGACACACCACAAATTCATCATGTTTTATGAAGGGACACTACCCTTTAGGCCACTCACTACCTGCTCGAAATGCCATTCGAGTGGCGCTAAATTCCATTTTTTCACTAACTTTGGATTTCAATTTATCATTCATCCAAAATTGATTTTGAGATTGAAATATATTACGGTCATCTACTCGATGATTAGAACGAATTACTCTATTCACTTGCATGATTTGACTATTAGAATCTATCCGAATATTTGGTTGAATTTGATACAAAATCAACTTTTTTTTATTTTACTTAAACCAAATTCCAACAGCCTCACGAACACAAAAATGTTGGAGTAAATCTTTTGGAAGTGTTCCACACTTAAAAATAGAGATAAATATGACGAACTTTGAAGTTGGAGAATGTTGGAAAACTAGTAAAATCCTAGGAAACAAAATTTTACTTTTTTCATAATTCTTGACCCAAGATCTTTACTTGCACTTGAATGCAAGCATGCGCAAAAGGAGTTGTAGGTAGAAGGTTGTATGTAGGGTGTCTATAGTGCCATAGATGAGAAGTCATAGTGATGCGGACATCACGATCTATTTTATTGTTGATTTTTATTAATTATGTTTTTTATTATTATTGAGCTTATAGTAGTGAGTTGGCTCAAGTCAGTCACTAGTAGATTAGATTTTTACTATTTATTTGATATTTTCATTGTTGTTGAATTAGACGATGAATAAATGAAAATTAAGTTTTGGCTTGTTGCCACGTTTTCCTCCCCTATTTCTCCCATTTCTCTGGTTTCTTCTCCGATTTCTCCTCCGGTTTCTCAATCCTTCTCTCCAGTTCTTTCTCCTTTCTTGCTGCCTTTTATTTTATCCTGCATCACATAGGCAGGAGGACGGAGGCTAGATGTCGAAGCAGTATGATGTGAACCACAAGATGTTGTAGATGAAGGACCAAAGACAGAACAAGAGTTGGCATCCAACTCTAGGGTTGTGAAATGTAGGCCGACAAAGCTAATGGCGAGTTAAGCGAACACGCATGATAATAGTTAAGCATTTGTCAATGCAGTAACTCTAGGCAACGCAAATAAACATGCAACTTGAGTTGTGGCTTCTAAAGAATCACTACAACAAAATTGTCTTTCATGGTGAAGTTTTTGAAACATTTGTCGTTGTAAGTGATTTATAGACACGACAATGATATACTCGAAATATCTTTAGAAAAAATCATTTTCATATGAAATTAGGTCACCGTTTGGAAAAATTATAAATGACTTATAAATAGAAATAGTAAAAAAAAAAAAATATATATATATATATATATATAGTAGTGGATTACATGAAATATGTAGGGCTGTAAGCAAAAACCGCCAAACAGGAAAATCGAACCGAAACCGCAATTTCGAAACCGGTGATATGGTGCCACGTGGACTCGTCAATGAAATGGTTTTGAACCAAACCAAACCGGTCAAAAACGGTTTGGTTTAGGTTTGAAAATTTTAATTATGGTTTGAAACCAAACCAAACCGGCGAAAAATATATAAAATAAAAAAATAAAAAATT